TCTCTCTCTCTCTCTCTCTCTCTCTCTCTCTCTCTCTCTCTCTCTCATTCTCACTCCTCTCCATCTACGTATGTGAGTTTCTAAAGGAGTGGGTGTGTTGACATATGATGACTATTTCTATCCATCAGTACCATTTATTGTGAGAGAAATTCTATCACTGGGCCTGGTTCTCAATGACCAGATAGTCTGGTTGTCCATTGAGTCCCTGTGTTTGTTCATTCTTCACATTCCCTATATGATCTACCTGGTTGGCTGCCACACTCATTTCCTTTTATAGTTATGGATTCTGAGTTCTGTGTTTAGAAATCACTAAAGCGATCTTGTGTGGCAAATACTTGATTTTCACAGACCCATTATAGTTACTTTTAAAATTTAGGATGTACTTTTACCTGAACAAAATGCATATCATCATACAGAGCAAAATAATCCTGTTTAGTGACCAGTATCAGTTTGCGAAGAAGCCAAAGAAGATTGTAAACCCCAGAAGATGAAGGCAGCTCAGAGACACATGTGAGTCTAGTGGACCCTGTGGTATCTTTTTATCTTCATGAGCACTACACTACCCACACAGAAACATATACCCCTAATTAAAACAGTGCATTTTTTAAAAGTTCTCATTCAATGCTGCAATTTGGTCCAATGGTCTAGTACTTGTGTGGTTTATATGAGACCTTGATTCAAATGGTAATATTTCAAAATATATTTATCATTTTTATTAAAAATACTGAGCTTGAAATATCAGTACTCCCCATTAAAGGTATAACAAGATTTCTGTTATCCAAGAGAACAGTTGAACTTTTTTTTCAAGAAAAACTCCTTTCTCTCACTTCTCTAAGTTCTGAGTCAGGAGGTTAACAGATAGCTCTGAGAACCCAGGGTTGAGAGGTGAGGTCCTCATGAACAAACCATGTTCTGCCCTCCATCTTCTAATCAGGATGCTTCACCTTTACCAGTGAAAGTGAGCAGAAGAAATTAAATAAAGCTAATGTTTTTCATAACCACAGAAATGGATCTTAAACCCAAAAGAATTAGTTGTCTGTAAGCAATGATATGAGTGTCATTTACCCAAGGAAAGAATGAGACCAAGTGTTGTAGGAATGGAAGAAGAAGAGATGCCTGTGTTGTGGAAATGGGAATTTAGTTCAACCAAGATATTATGAAAACTGTGGGGTCCCTCAGAGAATTACACAAGGCTGTGTAACCCTGCAATCTCATATCTGGATGAGCAGAAAAAGAAGCAGAGTTGGTATAAAAAGTCAGGAAAGGAGAGAGAATAGAAAAGAAGAGACATGAGAGTAGGAGTGGACAGAGGGTTAAAGAAGTGAGAGAAAGAGAAGAGAAGGTAGTGGGATGAAACAGTATGATCACAGTAGATTGTAAATGACCATGGTGATTTTTTAAGTAAAATAAATAACATAGGAGGAAAAAGAATATTTTCAAATATTATATGATGTTAATACACATATATCCATCTGCCCTTGTATGTGTGTTTTTGGAATAGATTGTTTCTATTGTTCTATATCTGTCTGTGTATATGTCTGAGTGTCTGTGTGGTTGCTTCAGAGATGCATACTTTCTAATAATCTATAAATAGTTTACATTACAGAGGTTACCACAACATCATCTGACCACAGAAACCTGCTCTGAGATCAGGTGAGCAGCGAGGCTGGGATTCAAGGTTTGATTTCAGACCCAGAGCCTCTCTTACACTGAGCAAGCTTCTGAAGACATTTCCGTTCCTTAATAACCTAATGACTCTTGGCTCTTACTTTTCTTTTCATTCAGGTGCATGAGTTGAACATGAGTAGTGAGAGTCCAGCACATGCTGCTGTTCAACTACTTGAAAAGGTTATGGAGTCCAGACTCAGAATAGGAGTGACCAGATGACGGTACAATTTCCCTCTACTTCTCCTTGTCTTCTTCCTTCTGTTTTCTGTGTTTGGTTTGATTTATCTTCTATACCTCAACATTCACAAGATCCATGCTCAGTAAATTGATCTTTTTTGTTTGGTTTTGTTTTTGTGTATTTGAGATAGGGTTTCTCTGAGTCTGTCCTGGAAATAGCTCTTTGTACACCAGAGTGGCTTCGAACTTACAGAGATCCTCCTGCCTCTGCCTCCCTAGTGCTGGAATTATAGGTTTGCACCACCACTGCCCAGCAGTAAATTGATTCTTTACAGAATCAGTTATAAGTGTTGGGTATCAATGAGGAAGTAATTGTGTTTCCTGGTGTTTATTTTAGTAGTGCATAAATGCAGTCATCAAAGATTATTTTCTGTAGGAAAAAATGTGATGTTTTAAAAGATTGAGCTAGGCATATAGCTTTGTTGTAGTGTGCTTTGTGACCTTGTGAAAGACCTTAAGTTTAAGAACCAAGCTCACTTAAAAATAAGAATTGAGCACTTAGAAAAATATAATTTCATACTTTCATAGTCTTAAATGAGCCACTCTATGACTGGAAAAGGAATGGAAATCCCCACAGTGATAAGTACAGTTAGACAGCTGTGGAGAGGAAACAATTCTACAAAAGTTCATCTCTTGGTTTCCACAGCAAACAGTTCATCCAAAGTCTACAGCATCCGTGGCACAGTTGCGAATAACTGCAAACTATGGATCCAATGACAAGTAAGGACAATGTTCGAATGACTAGAAATGCTAATTGTGTGTGCATAGCACATGGTTTGGACATGTGTCAGGAGGCTAGAGTAGAGTTTGAGTATGTTTGCCAGTTAATTTCTATCTTATTTTTGAGTAAGGATATCACAATGAACCTGGAGCACACATGCTCAGATAGAATTTTTGGATGGCAAGACTTAGAGTACTTAGAGTCACAATACCTCCAGTGCTGGGAATATAAGATAAACCATCGCACCCAACTCCTAAATTAAGTGTTGTGAATCAAGATAAGATTTTAATACTGGGAGGCAGGAGTCTTACCACTGAGCCAACTCTTGAGGCCTGAATATTATCACTGTACATTAATAAAAGAATTGTAATCTGTAAAACCAAATATGTGTAATGTATAATAATTTTTAAAAGATAAAACGTATTGCCAGTTATGGATTTTTGAACCATTAACTATCTAAATGGACATGAATGTCCCATGTCCAAAGCTTTAAATGTCCTCATAATTGACCCTTAAAACTCTGACTTTTTATGAAAATCTGGAATTGGGGAGATGGGAAGGATCTGCAAAAGAATATAGAAAGTAATTACCTATCAGAATATGTAGTATTGAAAGTTTCTCAAGAAAATAAATTCATTAATTATTGATGACACTTCATTTGCTGGTTGGGCGTGGTGAAATACAGTCTTAATCCACTCCCTTAGGAAGCAGAAGCAAAAGTCAGTCACCTGAAAAAGAAATGGAAACCTCCTGGGCTTCCTTTATTCTTTCAGGAACTTCCCCAATGCAAAGTAGCCCTCAGGTTCAGAATGAAAGCCAAGCCCTACCTGAGAAGCCCCATCTTCTTCTTACTGGAGCTCCAGCAAAGCATGTCTGTCCTGGAGCTGCTCCTCTGCCTCTTGACCTGTCCAACCTGTGAGTGTTTCAGGGTTTCAGGAGAGAGAACCAGGTACATCGTGTATGGAATATTTGACTGATGATGATGTCCTTTTTCCCCAGGTGCACTGTCCCAGGTCCAGGTAAAAGAGTCAAGACCTGACCTGGTGCAGTCATCACAGCAGACCAAGACCCTGTCTCTCACCTGCATTGTCTCTGTGTTCTCATTAACCAACAGTCATGTACATTGGGTCTATCAGTCTTCAGGATAGTGTCTCAAGTTAATGGGAATAATATGGTATAATAAAAACACTGATTATAATTCACTTCTCAAGTCCTAGATCACCATCAGTAGAACATCTCCATGAGCCAAGTTTTCATAAAACTGAACAATCTGCAAACTGATAACACAGCCATATACTACTTTCCCAGAGACAATGTTATAGAACTCCAGTGTGAACCTGTATGAAACCTTCCTACAGAGAGCACAGGGCCAGCAGGCAGTACTAAGGGTCAACAGGGACTCACCATTGTAATATTCTAGAACTTAGTCTTTACTAATTTTTAATGCATTTGGATATTTTTGAGTCCTGTTTTCCACTGTAATGTATATTTTTCTACACAATTTGTGATCTCATCTGAACATGATAGAACGCAACACACAGGGCAGGCAAGGCTATGCTGTGGGTAACAGGAACAATTTGGAAGAGACTCAGGTGTCACTGGGAGTAGGGTCCCTAGATTTGTGATAGAGCTTCAGTAAATTCTCCAGTTAGAGCAGAATTTAGGATTTATTAAGAGCCAGCAGATCATGGAGGAATACCTTGGTCGGACCTATAAACCATTAACCTTGATTTCCTCCATGAAACATGAACATCAGTTTCATCCTAGATCCTGGTTATACTGTGGTACTTATACCATGGTGCTAATGCAGCTGGAGATAGCACCTGAGCTTCAGGAGTCTGCAGAAGGTTCTTGGATAACATACTGCTTAAGGTGTCCCTGAGCCTCAAGTCCCTTTCTGGAAATACTGTCAAATCACATAGTAATTTGTAGGTCTTCTCGGGTTCCTGGTAGGTAATCAATTTGCTTTTGGCTAAAATAAAATACCCTGTCTTTATTGAGGTATTTAAACACATTTTTAAAGTTTACAAGATTTTAATTTTGTCACGTAGGTGCATTTCTCCCTCCATTCTTTCCTCCACAGAGTTCTTACTTACAGTAATTCACTAGCAAATAAGTTTTGTAGTCTCTGCAGTGATATCTGAGTCACAGATCCTGAATATCAGATTCCCAGGTTGTGGCACCTGTAGGTTTCAGGGAATGGATTGTATATTGTGGGCTATCCATCATCACATTCTTGGAATCTTCTGATTGATCTCACTAGAAAAGACCAAGTGGGTATTCAAAGCAATGAG